ATTCCGGATGTTGGAATTTGGCCCTAAGGCTTATTTGCTGTAGTAAGAGGGAATATCTTCAGAATTTATCGAGCAGATGTGCTCAACTGAGTTGTGGTAGCACGGGAAGGTGCATGAGAAGTCAACCAATGATTTCAGACTACTCCAACATAGTTCTCAGCACGTTCGAGGACGAACGTTTGTTTAAGTGGGAGAGATTGTAACGACCCGACCGGTCGTTTTGAGTCCTAGCGCTCCGTTCAGCAGTCGGAGGCCATGAACAGCTTCATTTCGGGTATTATGACTTGTACGCGTGGCCGGAATTGAGTTTCAGGAAGTTCAAGTTGATTTAGAATGAGAATTCTCATTTCAGAAGCTTAAAGTTGAAAGAATGAACTAGGATTGGAATTTTGAGTAAACGACCTCGGACTCAGGATCTGAAGGTTCCAGCAGGTTCGTATGATGATTTCGGACTTGGGCGTATGCCCGGTTCGGATTTTGGATAGCCCGGCAGTGTTTTGGCGCCTATTGTGGGAGTTAGCATTTTAGAAGAAATTTCATAAGTTTGGCTTGAAGGGCATTTCAGTGTTATCGATGTCCGTTTGGGGTTCCGAGACTGTGAATAGCTCCGTATGGTGATTTTGGAGTTGGGGGCGCAATCGGAAGTGAATTCGGAGGTCCGTAGGACATTTTGGAGCCATTTGGCTAAGGATAGAAATTTGAAGGTTTTAAGAAGTTTGACCGGAGGTTGACTTTTTGATATCGGGGTCGGAATCCGATTCCGGAAGTTACAATAGGTCCGTAATGTCAAATATGACTTGTGTGCAGAATTTGAGGTCAATCGGACGTGATTTGACAGGTTTAAGCATCGAAAGTAGAAGTTGGAAGTTCTAAAGTTCATAAGGCTTGGGTTGGGGGTTGATTCATGATTTTTGCGTTGTTTGATGTGATTTGAGGCCTCCAGAAAGTCCGTAATGTGTTTTGGGATTGGTTGGTATGATTGGTTGGGGTCCCGGGGGGCCCCCGGGTGGATTCCGGGTGGTTAACGGATCGAAAAATGGAATTTGGAAGACTTGAGGTTGCTGCTTCTGTCATAACCGCATCTGCGGTTCTTGGACCGCAGAAGCGGGACCGCAGATGCGGTCGAAATCTCGCAGAAGCGGCCCAGGGACCGCAGAAGCGGTTCCGCTTAAGCGGCCCCCAGACCGCAGAAGCGGCCTAGCTCCCCCTTGCCCAAAGCCGCAGAAGCGGCCAAAAGTCGCAGAAGCGACATCCGCAGAAGCGGAAAATGCACCGCAGGTGCGAAAATCGCTGGTGGCAGAGGGGTTGTTTTAAAGTCGGATTTTGTTCATTTCACCCATTTTCTTCACTTCATTTGGCGATTTTTGGAGAGCTTCAAAGAGGGATTTCGTCATCTATGTCAAGGTAAGTTACTCCTACTCATTTCCAAGTTAAATACAAGATTATATCATGGATTTAGGCATGAAAATTGTGGGGAAATTGGTGTCTTTAGAAAAAGACCTAGAAATTTATAAATTGGAATTTAGCCACGAATTTGCGCATGGCATATACATCGTTTCCCGAGAATTTAAATGTTGATATTGCCTCTCATGGCTTGACATAAATTGGTAAGATAATGAAAAGTAAACCTTGAAAATCCTTTATTATTTGTTAAAGGTGTTTGCTTGTCTTCTCGCTTTGTGAATTAGAACTGCTATATGATCCATGATTTCCTCACATTTTAGTATATTGTTAATTGACCTCTAGTAAGAGTCAAAGTCGACCATCTCGTCTCTACTTCTTCGAGATTAGACGGGATACTTGCTGAGTACACGTTGATTTCGTACTCATACTACACTTCTGTGCATTTTTGTTGCACATGTATATGTACACTAGTGGCCCACTGGGCGTAGCAGCACGGAAGATTCTGGGACTAGGTGAGCTGCATTATTCGAGGCGACTCGCAGCTAGTGTAGTTCCTTCCAGCATTTGTATTTTATTCCCTGTCCACTGTATTTCGGGCAGATGTTGTATTTTATTTTCTTTATCAGTAGTTGCTCATGCACTTGTGACACCGGCTTCTGGGATGGTTTTCGAAAGACTTGTACTAATCATTATTTATTTAATTTGAATTGAAGTAGAGATTGCTTTAATTATGAAAAATAGAAGGAAAAATCCTAGATTTTTAAAGGTATTAAAAAGAATTTAATTAATAATTTATTTGGCTTGCCTGATAAAGGTGTCCGGCGCCATCACGACCCGTAGTGGATTTTGGGTCGTGAGATTTATAGGATGATATAGGTAATACAAAGGGACTCCATAAACATGGTATTAACTATTGAGAACATGAGGGAAGATGATGGAGGTGTGGTTGTTACATCCATAATGGTAAGAAGTAGTGGGAGGTTAATGGAGAAGAGTAGTGGGTGTTACTCCCTTAGGAGCTATGGACATCCACCATAATCAAGTATTTCATAACAAATTAGAAGTTATAGATGGAAACACAATTAATGGAAGTAGTTGAATGAAATAGATCTTATACATAATTTAAATAGATCTTAGATAAATCTAATCTATATATCTATATTTATATTTATATATTGATCCACTCATAGATTTTCTTCTATATTAGCTAGAAATATGGAAGGTAAAAAATTAAAAAATATAGAAAAACATAAATTGAGATAAACTATGACTACTTATACTTTGGAGTAAGTTACAATACAGAAAAAAACCCTAAAATTAAGTTAAGATATTAAAGATTTAATGACTTTAAAAATAAAAAAATTCAAACAGCGAAATATGATCTTACATAAAATATACAAATTATTTATAAGGTAAGAAAAATTAAATAATCAGTAAATATTATTTTGATAACAAGAGTAATAAAGTCATATTAGTATTGACAAATCGGGCAAATGAATATTTTCTAGGTATAAATATTTTTTATATAATTAAACATTTAAACTTAATAAGAACAAATCTTAACATGGTAAAAAATAGATATTAAATTCAGACAAGCTAATGAAAAGCCACATGACAATGTAATAAAATTAAGTATTGAACAATATAATACCAAAACTAAGGAACAAATAGAGAAATAAATCAAAAAATTCATCATACAAAAAAGAAGGTTAAAACTTATTTAAATTTGAGATGTGAAATTGTTGCTTAAGTATGATAAGAAATGACATGCATATGAATAAGGCCACATAACTTAAGTCTAATAGATAAAAATAATTGAAAATATTAAATAATAAAAATAAGTTAGAAATAATGGGACAATATTTATACTAAGAATTACTTCAGAAAACAAAATAAAGCAAGTATACAATACTTAAAAATATTATTGATAAATTTAAATAATTGAAAATTTTCAAACAATAGTTTAAAAATAAATAAATATTTTAATTTAATATTAAATAGCTACAGACATATATATATATTATATTAAAAATAGTATTTGACAGGAATATTAAATAAAGTGTAAAGTTAATAAAATAAAAAAAGTACATGAAAACGTGATAATATTACATATTAGATAGCATTATAGCAAAAATAAGAAAAACTAAGGAAAATACTATTTGAACTTGAGATTAGAAAGTTCTTAAAGTTATGATGAGAACGCTCAAAATATGGAAATGATCACAAAAATTCATGTTTTGCTAGATAAAGAAAAATAAAAATTTGATACCAAATTAAAAAAATTAATATACTAAATAAATATCTCATATAGGACTAATAAAAATTAAAAGCTAAATTTTTTTCTTGAAACTAAAAGAAAAAGAAAATTTAATTGCACGTAATACAAAATAATTATAAAAAAAATTCAATAGATTTGAAACAATAAAATAACTTATGTATTACTTTTTAGAGTAATTTAAAAGTTGTATTTTTAAATAAAACGTGATATTATATGAGTACCAGCCAAAAATATTGTGTAAAAAGCTAATTAAAATTTCTTAGTAGGGAAGAGAATGGATAAAGAGGAAAACAAAGATAGTGCGATGACACTTATATTTTAAATTTATTTAAAATATATGATTTAAATTATTAAATAATACTCAAAAATATTATTGATAATTTTGAATAATGAAAGAGTTTCGAGCAAGAGAATAATGGTATAAGAATACATTAAATTTTAAGCATAAAAAATTATGTTTATTGTTGATTATTAATAAGGTCATAAGCAAGACATTTATAAGCTAATAAAAGATCACATTACAGTATAATAATATTAAGTAATAAATAATGCAATAATTGTAGGCAAAGAACAAAAAGAGAAAAAATTTATGTCTAGAAATATAGAAGGATAAGACTTATTTGAACTTAAGATGAAAAACAAAGCGATAGTAAGAATTTTGCTAAAATAATATGATTTATTGTGCTCAAACAAGATAAATCACAACGTTATATGTTTAGTATTCTTTAATTTCATGTCTTGCTTCTTAATTAATATCTAATAATTATTTATAATTTCTATATAGTAGGTTTACTTTTAAGGTTATTTGCATATAGTTCAAATAATTCAAATTATGATTTGACGTTGCTTATGTCCGCGCATCGCGCGGGTACTAATACTAGTAAATAGATTATAAGAGAACTCCAGTCTCATACCTGAACTTACTAGTTTGGTAGTTTTAAAGCTCGGAATTTTGACGTGATAAATAATGTAAATAATTTTCTTTTAAACGCGTGGGAATGAAGAAAAATCGAAAAAATAAATCACTTAGCGATACAATGGCTTAATTGTTCAATCTATGTAGTATTTCTTCTTTCTTCTTCTTAATGTACACTGTGCATATTTTACGAAATTTATATTTTTTTTCTACTTTAGATGACTATTTATTTTAATTGTGTATTTCTTATTTTTTGCACCAAATTTCTAAACTTGGTTGAGCTTCACTGTTTTAGCCAAAAAAAAAAAATTAGAATATATATAGATATATATATATATATATATATATATATATATATATATATATATCTATATATATATATATATCATTGTTCTAGTCAAATCTAAAAACTAATCCAAGATAATGGAGTTCTAGTTAGTTCTAAGTTCTAACCAAAAAGATTTTAAAGATAATACTTGAATTTTTTAAGAGGTATTAATCTGCCAAGTTCATGACTAATTAGGACGCAAATTAATTATGTGTACACTGAATATTCTTTATTTTATCTTTTTTCTCTTTAACTATAACTTCTTTTTTGCAGTGTGCCTGAACCGCGATTCGCCGACACAATCGATCAACATTGCCGACGACGTCAGATCTGTAAGTCTCTCTTCTCTCGCTTGAATTTACTCCAGTAATCCTCACTGTAAAAAAATAATTATCTCGTGTAGTGAGTATGATTTTCATTTGCTTATGTAATTCACATTTTATTACTCCAATTTTCAAGTGCTTAAACCAGCATTATATGGATCTTATAACATACTTTATTAGTTTATTTGATTAATATTCATATGCAGATTCTGATTCTTTTTCCAATATTGGACAAGAGTGAAATATTATTTGTTGTTAATCAATTTCTAGCCCTACGACAACAACAACTACGTCTCAGTCCCAAACAAGTTGGATTCAGCTGTATGGATTTTCACGGACCACATTACTCTGTTTAAACTCATCTCATGTAAATATTATGCAAATACAACTAAAAAGTTCTAGAAGTTCTGTATATTTTGTTAAAGATATAAATCTCGGAAAGGCTAAATTAATCCTAGAAAGCATTTTGTATATTTTTCTAAAGATATAAATCTCTGAAAGGCTAACCCACTCCTAGAAAGCAAAGGACCTACAGTAAAAAGTGTCAATGTCTAAAACATATTCTCTACTAGTAATATCTATTGCATATATAGATGTTTTGTTAGATTCATGCGCAGAAGAAGAGAGTAGAGGATTCATAATTTGGGAAAATAGCTCAACTGATTAACTGGGCATAAACAACCGACTATATACAAGTATAACTAACAATATACTAACTCCCTAAAATAACTCTAACACACCACAACTTCTAATATGTACACTTAGGCCCCATACACTAACCAACTAACTAACTTCTATTCCCCCTCAAGCCGAAGGGTATAAAATGTTTAACACACCAAGCTTGCCAAGTAGAAACTGATGCTGAGGTGATGCCAAGCCTTGATTTCTTGTAGAGATGTATTGTGTTTGCAAGATCCCTTGTTTGAGCTTTTCCTCGATGAAGTGACAATCTATTTCAATGTGCTTTATGCGCTCATGAAAGATGGGATTAGGAGCTATTCAGAGTGCTGCTTTAGTGAATAAGATAACTGACTGATGAATTGGAGTCCCTAGTTCTGCAAACTGCCCTCTTAACCGCACTATCTCAGCTACTGCAGATGCCATACTTCTGTATTTAGCTTCATCACTGCTTCGAGAAACTTTGTGTTGCTTCTTCGACCTCCAAGATATTAGGGAATCACCAAACTTAACAAGGTAACCATTGACATACCTGCTTATTGGACATGTTGCCAGTCTGAATCATAGAAGCCAATCAAGGCATCAGCTGGTCCTCTTCTCATGATCACTCCCATACCTGGTGCCTGCTTTAGGTATCTCACTACACGAGTGGCTGCATCCATATGGGATCTTTTTGGAGTCTGCATGAATTGACTCAAAATCTGTACTGCAGAACTGATGTCTGGTCTGGTGATTGTAAGGTACAAGAGTTTCCCAATCAGCTTTTGGTAGCTTGTGACATCTACCGAAGGGTCATATACTTTACTTCCAATCCCCTTATCATACTCAAGTGAAGTGAGCTTCTGATTGAGTTCTAGGGGTGTAATAGTTGGTTTTGCTCCACTTAAGTCCATCTCTGAGATGAGCTCTAGGGTGTATTTCCTCTAATTAAGAAGGATTCCTTGCTAAGACCTCAAAACTTCAATGCCCAGAAAGTATCTTACTTCACCTTAAATTTCTGATGCAGAGTAGACTCGGCTTCATTAATGAGCTCCATACTGCTTCCAGTTAATAGTAAATCATCCACATAGATTAGGATGATGACAATCTCATTCCCAAACTTCTTAGTGAACAAAGAGTAGTCATAAACACTTTGGCTGAAGCCTGCACTAAGTAAGGCTTCTGTAAGTTTAAGATTCCACTGTCTTGATGCTTGTTTGAGTCCATATAGGGATTTCAACAACCTACAAACCTTTTTCTCCCCCTGTCTCTGAAAACCTTGAGGCAAGTATATACTTCCTCATATTGGTCTCCTTGTAAGAAAGCATTGAATACATCTATCTGATAAGGCCCCCGTCTCTAGAAGCAGCCAATGCTATTACTGACATGACTGTCACCATCTTTGCCACTGGTGAAAAAGTTTCATGATAGTCCATGCCCTCTTGTTGATTATATCCCTTAGCAACCAAGCGAGCCTTAAATCTTTCCATCTCTCCATTGGCTTTGTACTTGATCTTGTAGACCCATTTTGACCCTATAGATGATTTCCCAGGAATCAGGTCCACTACTTCCCATGTCTTGTTGTCCTCCAATGCCTCAATCTCTTGTTTCATGGTCTGAATCCATCTGTCATCCTTCACTACTTCTCTGAAGTTTTGTGGTTCTTTGGTTATGGAGAAAACCCTTATGTAGTCTTTGTACTTATTTGTGACACAGTCATAAGACAAGAAGTTGGAAATAGGGTAAAGGCAATGTAAATCTTGTTTGGTGGCAACTACATAGTCTTGCATCCAGATTGGAGGATGCTTGGTTCTAGTTGATTGTCTGGTGAGCGTAGTAGGAAGTGGTGCTGAAGCTGTCACGACCCATTTTCCATAATAGGTCATGATGGCGCCTAACACCGTTGTCAGGCCAGCCGATGCGGAATGTGATTAAGTTCTCCTTTTACTTTAGCCAAAGACAGTTATACTAGATTTTCGAATTTAAAGATAAGACCAGTAAAGATCATAAAGTGCTAAAATAGCGATACAACCCCAAAAATAAATGTCTACTACTGTGTGTGCCAGAACCTGGTGTCACAAGCTACGGGCGACTAGTAGAATATACACAAAAGAATAATACACTATCCTACTGTCTGAATCAGAATAGACAGAAACAAAAAGTACAAGAAAGGACTTGTTCGGCTGCGGATCGGCATGAAAGAGAAGCAGCTCACCATAGAAGTACCCAAGCATGCTCACTGATGCGCACCAGGATGATGTCCAGATCCACCTGCCTCAAATCCTGTACAATTAAGTACAGAAGTGTAGCATGAGTACATAAACCACGTGTACTCAGTAAGTATCCCGTCTAATCTCGAAGAAGTAGAGACGAGAGGTCGACTTGATACTTACTAAGGTCAAGATAATATAATATAATAAGGTGAGATATATAGCATGAAGGATCTCTAATAACACACGTTTAATAGAAGAGTCATATTCATGTTCTTGTCATAATTAAATTTCCAGTTTTCCCTTTTTATATCAAATGAGTGATCATGTCATAACTAAACGTAAGCATATAAATCATGCACAAACATGCCGAGGTCGACGGCCCGCTCCAACAGAAAATAAATTGTGCACTGCCGAGGGTCGAGCGGCACGAACCATAGATGCATCTATTATCACCGAGGCGATCGGCCCGATCCATAATCATCAAGAAAATATCAAGAAAAGCACATAAGGCTCAATTACATACAAGGGAATTACTACCAAGGCTCAACAAACTCATACGTTCACCTTTCATTTCCTCAAGTCTCTAGCAAATCAAAATGATCATATTGGCAATTTAAAATAAGAGATATTCCCCAATTAGACATGACGTGGGTCCTAAACTACCCGAACAATCATCATATAGCAGCTACGCACGGACTCTCGTCACCTAGTACGTACGTAGCCCCCGCATTTAGCAACAATTACTCATTTAAAATTCTATGGGGACAATTCCCTCTTACAAGGTTAGAAAGGAGACTCACCTCGCTCCAAGGTGCACTCCCATTGTCCAAGAGCGACCCAAGTCCTTAATTCGAAGCCGGACAATCCCAAACTAATCAAACGAAGTAAGAACTAGTAAATAAAGGCATACAAGGTTGAATTCTAGCTATTTAAGCAATTTCCTAACCATTAATACAAGTTTCCTAAATTCCGACCCCGGGCCCACGTGCCCGGATTCCGAGATTTTTTTGAAGGAAGTTGTTCTCTATCACCTAAGGATCACAAATATATGATTTCTAGTTCACTACATGGCAAATTATGTGATAAAACCTTAGTTTTCATTAAACCCTAGGTCTAGCTCAAATCCCTTGATTTTACCTAATTTTTAGTGTTAAATCTACCTAATGGCTATGTATTTGAACTAAAAATGAGTGGGGATTACTTACCTTGCAATGTTATGTTGAAACCTCCTCTTTGGAATCACCAAAATCGCCTAAGTGTTGAGAGTAATGTGGAAGAAATGAGTTTGGGTTCGTATTAATGAACCCTTCTGCCCCCAGTGATTTCCGCTTCTGCGGAAGGAATCCCGCTTCTGCGGGTTCCGCTTCTGCGGACATGAGCCGCTTTTGCGGAAATGGGCAAGGGGGCCTGGGCCGCTTCTGCGGTCATAACCTCGCTTCTGCAAGGCCGCTTAAGCTGAAAGCCCACCGCTTCTGCGGTTCTGGGCCTAGGCGGATGGACCGCTTCTGCGGTCAGGGGTCCGCTCCTGCGGTTTCCCCTGGGCCTGGCCCCTTCCGCTTCTGCGATAAAACGACCGCTTCTGCGGTCTCGCTTCTGCGGTCTCGCTTCTGCGGTCCAAGAGCCGCAGAAGCGGTTATGACAGAAGAAGCAGATAAGGTTTTTCCTAAGTTTTCAACTTCACTCGCACCTCGACCATTTGATGCTCGGGGCTCCGGAGCCCCGCTCAAACATACCGACAAGTCTGAAATCACGAGGCGGACCTACTCGAGCCCTCGATATGCTTTAAACAACGCCAAATCAGGGAATCAACCCCAAAACCAAATGATTCAAATCGTTGAACCTTCAAGTTCTAAATTTCCTCCTAACGGGTCAAAATGCCCTTAAGCCACTCGGATTGACACCAAATTTTACAGGTAAGTCTTAACTGATATTTCGGACTGGTACCAAGTTTCGGAATCGAAATCCGAACCCGATACCTAGGAAAACAATGATTTCTTATTTTATTTAAACCTTTGAAACTTTAACTTAACAATTTTACATAAAAATTCATTACTCGGGCCAGGGACCTCGGAATACGATTCCGGGCATACGCCCAGGTCCCATATTTTCCCACGGACCCTCAGAAATTATCAAATCACGATTCCGGGTCCGTTTCTCCAAAATGTTGACCGAAGTCAAACTTGGCCTTTTTAAAGAAACTTAAAGAAGCAACTAGACTTATTCTTGCTCAAAACTCTTCTAACTTCCGAACCACCCGTCCCCGCAAGTCATAAATTAGCTAAAGCAAGTGCGGGAAGTCTTATTTAAGGGAACGGGGTTCAAAAAATGCAAAACGACCGGTCGGGTCGTTACAGAAGCAGTTTGTTCCCGCAATGTTAGAGTAGCCCTGCCTGGTGTACCTGCCTGAGCAGCTGTATTTGGTGCAACTGTTTGATCAATTGATTGAGCTGGTACATCTGGTGGGTCAACTGCATTTGGTGTATCAGCTACATCTTCATAAGTATTTGAATCAGGTGCTACTTGATCTGCTGCATCTTGATCTGTTGTGCCAGGTGAATCAATATCTGCATGCCCCTTAGATTCAATGATGTCTGCTGGTCCTGCTGTCAAATAATCTATACCCCTTCCGAGTAGTGGAATATCCCATTAGGACTGCTTCTTTAGCTCTTGGCACAAACTTGTCTTCCTTAACCACATTTATGACATAACATAGACATCCAAAGGTTCTTAGATGTGCTAGTGAAGGTGGCCTGCCATACAACAATTCAAAAGGACTTTTCCCATCTAGTACTCTAGTAGGAAGTCTCTTTATAAGATAAACAGCTGTTTGAACAAATTCTCCCTAAAAGTTCTCTTGGTATCCCAGCCTGGAATTTCAGTGCTCTAGCAGTGTCTAAGATGTGCTTGTGTTTTCTCTCAGCCATCCCATTTTGTTGTGGGGTGTGCACACAGCTACTCTGGTGGATTACTCCATGACCCTGCAAGAACTCACTCCATTGATGATTAAAGAACTCTCTACCATTGTCTGTTCTAATCACTTTAATGCATGTGTTGAACTGTGTCTTAACCATACGAAAGAACTGCTTCATAAAAATAATGGTTTCACTTTTCAACTGCATTAGAAAAATCCAAGTTGCTCTAGTGTAATCATCTACCACGGTAAGGAAGTAATGTTTATTTTCATGTGTAGCAACTTTATAAGGTCCATACATCCATGTGAACAAGTTGAAATGGTTTTGTACTTAGGTGCTCACTAACATGAAAAACCAATCTACACTGTTTAGCCAAGGGACAAATGGAACACTTATTTTGTATTGTCTACTTTATTATGCAAGAAAGAAACATGTTGCATCACTGGTAATGAAGGATGCCCTAATCTCTTGTGCCAAAGGTCTCCTAAAACTTCATTCTTCTCCAATGTGCTGATAAGAGCAGCTGCTAACTGTCTTGTTCCTCTTCCCCTCAGCAGATAAAGTCCACCAGTTTCCTTACCAATCCCCTTCACCCTGCCACTGTAAAGGTCCTGAAAGACACACAGTTTGGGCATGAAAAGAGCACCACATTGTAATGGTTAATTTTGAGACTGACATTAAGTTGAACTTAAAGTCAGGAACATATGACGCATTTTCCAGTTTGTTATCTGCTGATAACTGTGTGCTACCAATGTGAGTAACATCAGTACTGTCTCCATTTGGCAGTCTCGCTTTCTCTCTTTTACAACTGTCCACACTCTTGACATCATTCAGTGATACTAGTGAGGATGCTATGTGATGTGTGACCCCTGAATCCACTATCCAGTTATTATTATAGACATTTGATGCAAGAGACACAATATTACCTGCCATGTTGGCTTGTGTTTGATTGTCATTGTGTGCATCCTTGTTGAGCAAGTGCAGGATCTGTTGATATTGTGCCTCAGTGAAGAAAAAATTTCTTCCTTTCTACTGTGATGTTCCCTGATAATTAGAGGTTGTTGCTGGCCCTTCTACATTGTTAACTGCTGTAAAAGGTCCTTTAGGTCTATAATCTCTGCCTTGATGTCCTTTCTTCCCTCTGAAATCTTCAGGATATCCAATAATTTTGAAGCAATTTTCTTTATGTGGCCTTTCATGTGGCAATGTTCACACTGCACAAATTGTTTCTTTCCTCTGAATCCTTGACCCCTTCCTGCTTGCATTGCTATTGGATCCACCTTCTCTGCCATTGCAGTACCACCCAAAGACTGTTGACTTTCATCTTGTGTGATCATAGCATATGCTTGAGTAAGAGTAGGCTCAGTTGTTTTCATTAAAATCTGCCTTCTAGCTTGATCATATATATCATTCAAGCCATCAAAAAACTGCATCAATCTCTGTTGATGTAAGTGCGCTATATACTCCTTCGATTTCACATATCCACAGTTTGGGGATGGTACCAACACATTATACTCTGCCCATAGCTCCTTCAATTTTGTGAAGTACACGGCTACTAAGTCAGATCCCTGTGACAGTCGCGAGATCCCACTGTGTAATTGAAAAATTTTCACTCGATTCATCTTATCAAAACGTTCCTTGAGATCCTCCCACACAGCATGTGCATCTGATGCATAAATGATTCCACTCAATAGATCCTTCGAGACAGAGTTCATAATCTACGAATGCGCTATTGCATTGCATGTCTCCCATTTCCTCATGGAGATCAGCTTCAAAGGATGCCTTAATGCATGTTCCATTGATGAACCCTAATTTGCGCTTTTCCTTGAGTGCAAGCCGCATGGATCTACTCCACAAGCCATAATTCTCAGAACCTGTGAGTTGGATTGGAATCAACACTAATCCTGGAGTGTCGGAGGGTTGTAGGAACAAAGGATGGGTGTAATCGTTCTTAGTTTTCTCCGCCATTGTTGAACAATCTCAAATTCAACTCAATTATACACAATCGAAGAAATTAAAGGAAACACAGCAACGTATTCTACAACTTCTGTAGAAATTTCACCGATCTACTAAGAAATAAAGAACACACTGATGACTTTCAATTTTGAAGAATGTAAGAGAAGGTCTTACTAGGTTGAGCTTCGGAATCCATGAATCTATCTCCCATGCTCTGATACCATGTTAGATTCATGCGCAAAAGAAGAGAGTAGAGGATTCGTAATTTAGGAAAATAGCTCAACTGATTAACTGGGCATAAACAACCGACTATATACAAGTATAACTAACAATTAGGTACTAACTCCCTAAAATAACTCTAACACACCACAACTTCTAATATGTACACTTAGGCCCCGTAGCACTAACCAACTAACTAACTTCTATATACACTCCAATATGTTTTTCTATCTTTTGCTAAGACAGCATGAATTCCAAAAAAATGGGAAATCGAGCAACTTTATTCCATGTGATTTTAGGTTTACCTCGTCCTCTTTTAACACCTTCGCTTACTATGGTTTCTCACCTATGGAGCGACACATATTTAAAAGAAGGCGCACTGCCCACAAGCTTAAACCTTTAAGCAAATTAAAATTAGATGCACTTTTAGCTTGTGCATATGAATTTATCAATCACCAAAACAATCAATATATTAGCAAGGTACCTAATTTAATGACCAGCAAGGATTGGCCATTTTTGTAAAGAAATTATGACAAACTTTCCCGTTGTTACTGAATTATTATCTGGTCCTTAAACCCTTGTGGTCCGGCCCTTTCCTAGACCCTGCGTATAGCGAAAGCTTAGTGCACCGGGCTGCCCTTTTATCATCCTACTACTATTACTTCTTACAGAATTCTAATTACTGACTACTTGCTTTACTATTTTCTTGTGACTCTCGCCCAAACTAGTTTCACTTAGTATTCCATGTATCATGTTGGAAAAGTACAAACTGGATCCGTCTCATCTTATTTTGATGCAGACTGTTTGTTGTACGGGGAAGAGCCGATTGCCATTACAGATAGACAATGAGGAAGTTGTGATTCAGTGAAATCGCCTCAGTGAAGGTCGTTTGGAGTAACCACTCGAGATAAAGAAGTTGTTCGGGAGGTGGCAGAGATCCCCTGGAATTAATCGAGGTGCACGCAAAGAAAAGCTGGCCCGGACACCTCGGTAAAGAAAAAAGAAAAGCTATTTGGGAGGTTGAGGAGGTCATACAAGCACAATATTTGTATGTTTTCTACTCCCTACTGGTATCGCACCTTTAAAATTCAGGATTGAGTTTCTACTCTGTATGTTTTATATGCTTGTTTTGTATTACTTGGTTGTGGAATTGATGCTTTACGTATGCCTATATATGAAATTTTGGATTTGAATAAGTCTTGAATGTTAAAGTTAGTATGAGTTGACTTGAAGATATTGGGAGCGGTTCGGTTGGATTCGTAGTTGATCGGGATTAGTTGGAGCAAACATTTCTGGTGCTGGTGATAACTTAAGGTTAATAGTTTGGTAACATTTCTATATTTGTCGCAAACAAGATAACTATTTTGATTAAGCTGATTAATCTTTAACCATTTTTCTAATAATCATTTATCTAAAAATTAACAACACAATGTCATAGTTTATACTTTATAAGATTGAGCTTTTAAGATAGAATGGCAATTTTTTTTTTTTAATTTTCTTGCATCACCATCCTCCTATTGAAACATAGCTATGCAACTAGAAGCAAAGAAATCTGTTATGGGTTTTCTTTACAAAAATAAATAAATAAATAAAAAGCAATAATTGCAAAAGATTTTTGCAAATTACTTCCTAAGTCCCTTTTACAGAAAAACCTTAAATATCTCATAACACATTACATAGTCCAACTGAAGTATCTTATCATAATAAAACATAGTAAGATATAGTACTTAATTCAGAATACATGTATGAATCTCTTATAAGAAACTGAATAACGAATGAAATGGTACATATAATCAAAGGCGAAATAACTTAAGTCTAGGAGTATTAAAGGTCCTACAAATCCAAGAACAAACATACAAAAAAGTAGCCACCAGACATCTTTGTTCATGAATATATTCTCAACATTAAGGGCTTGAACGCAGGCCAGAACTGTGAATGCTGCGGAGTAATACACAGAAATAATGACAGTGCAGTACTTCACTGGCAAGGCAATATAAAAGTCGTCCGAATCAAACTTCGAAAGAAGTATGGAAAGCAATGTTCCCACAGTGAATACTGAAACATAAAGAGCTACACCTAAGAAAACCATCAACATCCATAGATCTGAATGTTGTGTCTTGAGGAGAATAGGTATGCCACTATTTTGATCAAAACCTCCAGGGACTGTAAAAACTGCAGCAAAGTTGACTGTGCAGAGAAGAGTAGCTAGTATAAGAACTGAACCTGCTAATTCTCTGATTGATTTCTCTGCTTCTTTACATACTTCTGAATGTTTTATCTCGAATAACTCTGTTGATGTCATGTTTTCATTGTTTTCCACCGTCCATAATCGTGGATGGACACAATATTTTACGCGCTTCAAAAAATTAAATGTATTCGTGGTAAGTGACAAGGTTGTAATTTTGGGTGAAACTAAAACAGTCGTGCAACTATTTTTATATGGAAACATTAAGGTGATATGCTATTGGAATAGATAGGGATGATGTCAAAATAAGCCTTGGGCCTAACTCACACTCCAAAAGCTAGCTCGAAGGAAGGAGGATTGCCCAAGCCTTATAAGGAGACCAGGGATCTCATCCTGGTCCGTTGTCGGATTCATTCTATTCATCACCCCGTGCACAATCATGGACCAGGGGTAATTCCACCTCCTCTTCAATTGGTTCGGGGACATTCCACTCCTCTTCTGGTGGCCCACTTTGACCATGGGCCTGATAAATGGACCCTGGGTCTAACTCAACTCCAAAAGCTAGCTTATGAGGTGAGGATTGCCCATGACCATATAAGGAAACCATGGACCTCAAATCCCACCGATGTGGAACAACTCAACATCCCCCTCACGTCCAGGCCTGCAAACTGGAGCGTGGACAACAGAAATGGTGGCCCAACATACAACATCGGTAGCAATAAATGGGATGGTCCTGACTCCGATACCAACTATGATAAGTGGACCTTGGGCCTAACCTATTCCCAAAAGCTAGCTTACGAGGCGAGGATTGCCGAAAACCATATAAGGAGACCATGGAGCTCAAATCCCACTGATGTAGGACAACTCAACATGGTCTGGCTCTAATACCATGTCAAAATAAAGCCTTGGGCCTAACTCACACCCCAAAAGCTAGCTCGAAGGGAGAAGGATTGCCCAAGCCTTATAAGGAGACCAGGAATCTCAGACCGGTCCGATGTGAGATTAATTTCATTCATCAGATGAAAATCATGATATATTTAACCATGTTGTATTATTTTTTAGAAACTCATTTTAAACTCTTATATTCTCAGCCATTTACTTGTCAGTATATACATGTAACCAATGACAATACGCTTGAAGTGTAACAAACACATTTTTCTGGTGTTTATATAGTTAAAAGAAGCAAATAGAAGGTACCTTAAACCAGAGGACACCCCATGCCATGAGTACGAGTGTTTTGTAACCCCTTATTGTTTTAATTGGTTTCCCTGCAGAAAATTTGAATGGCGATCCAACACTTGCTGCAAAATGCATTATGGTGTTTCCGCGTTGATCGGTATCAGAAAGTAGCCTATCTTTGTGAGATGCCTTTTGCAAAATATAATCAAATAGGAACCTATTTTTCTGCTCTGCTGCAATATGCAATATATTCTTTCCATCTTCATCGACGGTTTCTACTGCTTGAGGATAATTTTGTATAATTTCCATGACTAACTCGTTTATACCATGTTTTGTTGCCTGTATTAGCGGATTTGGCACAAAATTGGCATAGAAGCTCCAATCTTCTTCCCTTATCAATCTTCTTGCTAATATTACTGCAAGAATATGCTTTTGCTTTTCATAATCAATTTCTCCTAACCATGCATTACCTACAGGAACACACACCCAAGAACAGCAAAAGATGAAAGAATGATAATCAGAAGAGGACATAGGTTTAAATGTGGATGGTGATGCATGTATTAGTAATACAGAGACTGTAATGCAAGAATTATTTCCTATTAGATGTTTGGCAAAAATGTATTGTTTATTTTTAACAAAACATATAGAAGTCTGTTTAATACTGAATTGTTGATCTTCTTTAATATGAGGACATTTTTGTCATATTAATTGTGTAATTCATGTATTATTAATACATGTATTCTTGTTTCCCATTCTGTCATGCATGAAACAATATATAGATTCTCACAAAACTTATGTATACGAACATATTATCTTTATGAGGAAAAGTAATGATGAATAAACAAGTAATAGTTGTGTTGAATTTTATACAAAGATTGATCTCCTTATTCAACCGACCAAACAGACCATAATGAACATTATACATAATTAACATGTGTATAGAGTAAAATTGGAGGATACCTTACCTAGTAGAGAGTTAACAAATGAAGACCTTTTTCTTTGGAAGACAACATCTTTCGTAGTCTCTGCATCCTCCAAGTTGTAACTAGGTTTTGACTCTCCATACATTGCTGGTATGCCTGTTCCATTGCATTATATTAGAGGAGAAACAAGTCATATATATATGTTTGGCTTAGTCAAAGGTAAAACTACTATTTAAGCACCACCAAGGTGATGGTGGAATATATATATATATATATATATATATATATATATAGGTTTCGGCTTCAAGCCTACGTGTGTAAAAAATCCTTATAAGGAAGCGTTTTTCTAGGTCTTATGCGGCTCGAATTCGAATTAGTCGAGACCCTATGCGAATGCAGGACACCAGGTGGAAAAAAACAACTATACTATTTATGGGTTAATTCTACTATGAGTATTTAGTAAGGAAATTGTTCCCTTTCAAATTAAGCATTTGATGTAGAATTAATAATTTGGGAAATTAAAGTACTTACAGAAATACATAAAGGTTTCAAATCCCTGCATAGGAACGAAAGGCGTAGTGCCGAATTGTCCGATTGTATAGATGGATCCACTCCTAAAAGACAAGTGCTTTGTGGCCAATATATTTAATGCAGTCGTACCCTTTCCGTCAGCTTTGCTGGCTAATTCAGGATATATTCCCAGCAACTGTAATGCGAAGTCTGGTTCTCATTTCATGCAAAACAAAAGCCCACTGTCATATTCTACGAATTTGATTATTAGAATTTAGCCAAAATTAAAACTATATCAATGCGAAACCACGATATACATATCCAGACATTTCATTTTAATAGTATCATATTTAACCTGTAATTATGATGATGTAAAGTCTACCTATATCAAAAGCGTTTAACGTCTATACGTTGATTGTGCAAATAATTTTTGTACTAGCTAGTGTCATGTCATTTAAAAGCCTATCATTATATGTAGTATTCTATAACGAGCATGATCTGATAACCTCAAAGCAGGGGCGAACTTAGGGATGGAGCTTTGACGAAACATTACACTATATATATAAGGCAAAATATGTTTTTTGTCTCTATATATAGTAGGACGCAAACTAGTCCCTTTTTTAAAACTAAACGTACACACGAACTTATACATGACTTATAGCATAAATTCTTTGTATGCTATTTGAGGTCACGCAATTAGAGCTTTACTCAGAGGTAGGTCTACGATTTAATCCTATGGGTTCAACTTTTAAGGTTTTTAGCGTTGAAATCATTATTTTCTTAAAATTATGGATTCATATCTACTTTTTTGCAATTTTAATAAATTATTACACATATAATTTTTACGCGTCAAAAGTTATGGGTTCAATTGAACCCGTCGGCAGAACACTGTATCCGCCCCTGGCTGTACTATCTATATTCATAGTTAATGGGATTAATTTTTTTCCATAAGCTTTTTTTTCATTACATATAAGGTATTGGAAAATTTACTAAGGGGTGTCAAAATCTAAAGAAAGCATACGAATAAGACAACGGGGAGAAAAGAAAAGAACACCTATCAGAACAACAAAGTTTTCCGACAAAGGGGTATCAATTGACACTCCTTGGATCCACAACTGGGGAAAGGGAAAGAGGGGTAATGACCTACAACGAAATTAGTAACCTGAAAAATAAGTTAACTTACAATAACACTCTTGAGTTACAGCAGCATGAAGAACAGTTCTTCCATCGTCCCTCGTCATAGTAAATTCATCACAAAAATTGTTCTCTGCTAACAAAATGAACACTTCTTTCTCTCCACTCGCAGCTGCAACATAAATGGGTGTCTCTCCCGAGTTATTTCTCTCCAAAACAAGATCTCTTTTCAAGTTTAACATGATCTTCACAATTTCCTTTCGTCCAAACCTAGCAGCTTCATGCAAAGGTGTATCTCCATTCTTGTTTTTAACTCTCAAATCTTCACTGCTCACTGGCCTTTCTTCAAGAATTAGTCGAAATACTCGCACGTTGCCGTGAATGGCAATAAAATGAAGAATGGTGTCGCCGCGATTATCAATAGGCGACACCATTTCTTCTCTACAGAAATCGCGTAGGATTTCTATAGATTTTTCATCGTCGCGATTTGCTGCTGTGTAAGCTGCAGATTGGCGAAGACTTGCAGTGGTGCATTTTCTTTCTATTTTAACTTGCATGTTAAAATATTTTAGTATGGTTGGAGACTGACTCTGCTACTGTCAGATGGATTAGGAATAAAATGTTTCTACTACTAGTATTTGCTTCAAACATAAATAGTAAGTCTTGTCATTTGGAATAATATTATTCACTCTACTACAAGCAAATTTGGAATATTGTTTGCTCAAAATATAATCGATTCTCATTGGAATTGGAATATAATAAGATTAAGTATAGTGCACGCAATTCGGTACTACTTGTTACACATGCTTTTACCGTAACCAAGAACTTTCCTAAAGGTAAAGAAATTTGCTTGCTAACGTAATCACAAAGTCCGTCATTTGTGTTCTTCTTACCTCTATTTTCTCTATATTACTTGAAACTCGATAAATAGAGTATGATGAATATTGTGTTTATAACCTGTATTTGTAAAATAATTCTGGAAATAGAAACAACAGCAAAATAGAAATGTAGAAGAAGCAGAAATAAATTCGAACCCATTGAATTTCTAGTGTTTTCTTTGAAAGTACAAGGGGGGGGGGGGGGGGAGGGGTGAATTGTATATTTTTAATCTTAATCTCTATTAGTTGACTGGTTTTTCAATTAGTCGACTAGATGCAATAACCTAACAGTTATAATAACAGAATATAAAACACAGAAGGTAAGTGCAGGAATTAAAGACACCAGAATTTTATACTGGTTCGGATTCAATGTGAATCCTAGTCCAGTCCCTTTGGGTTGCAAGGGAGTTCTCTTTAGTAAATGCGTTTCTTCGAGTACAATGGAAATGACGTGATAGCTCAGTTCCTATAACACTCGTCTCTTTTGATACAATGCCTCACCAGTGTTGTTTTTTTTTTCCTGACTTGTTACACAACAGGTCTTAGAGAACTACAATGTTTGTTTGCAGTAGAACAAAGAGAGGATTTTTGGTTTGATCAAAGTATATTTTGTCTAAGGCTTGATGCTGAGTATAAATACTTTGGTGAAGGCCGTTTGCTGAAGAGACTTGACAACCCAAGAGATTTGATCCTTGGAAAGAGATGGATTCTTTCCAAGAATAAGATTGCTTGCCGTTGTTCTTCCTTGATGAGAGGAAATTGACAGCTTTCCTTCTATAGTTGTTGATGATGAGGGTTTACTCCTTGATTGTTGGTCCTTCCGAAATTAACAGCTCAGCTAATCTTCTTATGGAATCTTCGATGCTTTTTGACTGCTTCAATCTTCAGGATTGAATGTGCTGGCCTTGATTGATGCCTTAAGTTTAGGCTTGCTTGATTCTTTCCATCGCAGTTGTCTATGATTTTGTAATCTTTTCTGATTGATTTCTTTCCTTAAGCATCCAGATTGACTTCAGCAATCTCGTAGTAGCTCCTTGATTCCTTGACCTTCTCTAATTGATTTCCTGCACAGATATATTATTTGCATCATTAAAATTAGATCTAACAATCTCCCCCTTTTTGATGATGACAAAATAATATATATGTATAAACAATAGTTGACTTCCTTGTGTTTTACTCCCCCTCAATGTATGTAGTTAACCGGTTCAAGGTACTACCCCTTAGTTCATGCAGTTGACTAGTCCATGGTTGGAGTCGACTCTTGCCGTGGTGTGATGAACCAAAAGGTCATAACTTGTTTTTAAATTAAATTCTGCATTTCGAGGCCTTAAAAACCTCTTTCAGTATCACCTCGATTTGCGTGCGCTCTCTGGGCGCGTAGCCGGAAAGTCTATATGTGAAAATCTGTAAAAAATGATAAAATTTGGCTTTAAAATGAATTAAGTTGACTTCGGTAAACATTTTGGGTAAATGGACCCGGACCCATGATTTGACGGTCCCGAAGGGTCCGTAGGGAAATATGGGACTTGGGTGTATGCCCGAAATCGAATTCCGAGGTCCCAAGCCCGAGAAATGAATTTTTAAAGAAAATTATTTTCTGAATTTTTTTTTGAGATTTGGAAATAAATTGTGATTAGAACTTGATGGTATCGGGCCGGTATTTTGGTTCCGGCGCCCGGTACAGGTCTTATATGTGATTTAAGATAAGTCTGTGAAATTTGGTAAGAAACGGACTTGAAACGATGTGAATTGGATCGTTTTTGAGAAAATTGGAAATTTGAAGTTCTTAAGAAAATTTCATGATTTTGATGCTAAATTCATAGTTCGTGATGTTATTTTAGTGATTTGAATGCACGACCGAGTCCGTATGATGTTTTTAGGTTGGTGTGCATATTTGGTTTGGAACCCCGAGGGCTCGGGTGAGTTTTGGATAGGCCACAGGATGGATTTTGGACTTGGAAAATTGCAGGTTTTTAGCTGTTGCATTGCAAGCCTGCAGGCTTCGCAAATGCGATATCGCAAATACGAGAGGCTTATCGCAAATGCGAAAGAAGCCCAGGCCAGCCAGCCTCGCAATTGCGAGGATTCCATCGCAAATGCGATGCCTTCCCCCTTCAGCCTGTTGTCGCAAATGCGACACTTTGTTCGCATTTCCCAACCCACTTCGCAATTCCCAGCATATCAGAGGTCGGGGTTCGCAATTTGCGAACCCCTGTTCGCATTTCCTATATCTGCGACCTGCAACTTTTATACTTAGCCGAAATTCAACCATTTTTCACCTCTTTTCAAAACACAAACTCCCTAGGGCGATTTTTCAAGAATAAATCTTCTTCCAAATCGATTGTAAGTCACTTTTAACTTGTTTCCTTCAATCATTAACATCTTTTAACATGATTTCAACTTAAAATCAATGATTTTCATGGGGAAATTGGGTGTTTTGGGTAGAACCTAGGGTTTCAAAAAAATGGGGTTTTGGACCTCGATTTGAGGTCCGATTTCAAAACAAATTATATATTTGAGTTCGTGGGGGAATGGGTAATGGGGTTTTGGTTCGAACCTCGGGTTTTGACCATGTGGGCCCGGGGATGATTTTTGACTTTTTGGGTAAAACTTTAGAAAATTCATTTTCATGCATTAGAATTGGTTCAATTAGCGTTTATTGATGTAATTAAGTAACTTGTGACTAGATACGAGCGAATTGGTGGTGGAATCAAGGGGTAAAGCGATAATTGAGACGTGAATTGTGTTCGTGGCATCGAGGTAAGTGTTTGGTCTAACCTTAGCTTGAGGGATTAGGAGTTTTGTCCTATTTGCTATGTGTTATTTGTTGAGTACGACGTATCCGTGATTCTTATATTATGATTATTATGACTCCATTTGTATTGTTTATGCCCTTTTGTGATGATTGCTATTGTTGGGCAAAGTTTGTGGAAGAAATGGTAATATTTGAACATTGAGGAGCGTTGGCTGAAGTCGTGAAGTGAATTATGAAAGAATAATTGGCAATTGAACCTTATAGAGCATTGGCTCAAATTGTGAATCGAGTTGTGAAGTAAATTTGAAAACGAGAAGAGGATTATGGTATTGTTCCCTTGCCGAGATGTTGTTGTTTTGATGTTATTCCATTGCCCGATTTTATTATGATTCATTTATTTCCTTGCCTTTATTGTTTGTGTTTGTTGTTTGGGTGAGGAAGAGTGTAAAGCACGAAGGGTGATGCCGTGTATGATTTTGTGAGGCAGAGTGTAAAGCACGAAGGGAGATGTCGTGCCGCACGATGTACCATTCCGTGCCTTTATATGAGCGATTATGTGAGGTAAAAGCACAAAGGGTGATGCCGTTCCAATTATACAGATTTTCATGGTGAGGACGAGAGTAAAAGCACGAAGGGTGATGCCGTGCACTTGTCCTTGATTTTCCTGATTCTACTGGTAATTGAGTTATGGTGTTCTTTACGCTTACTTACTGATTTCCTGTTGTTACTTGATTTTATTGTGATGTTATTGATTCCCTTGCCCAATTTGCTTTGTGATTGGGTCTTGGGTGAGGAAGAGTGTAAAGCACGAAGGGTGATGCCGTGCATTGTTTTGGTGAGAGAGTGTTAAAGCACGAAGGGTGATGCCGTGCATTGTTTTGGTGAGAGAGTATTAAAGCACGAAGGGTGATGCCGTGCACTTGTCTTTGATTTCCTGATTTTTTTGTTTGATAACTGAGTTATGGTTTCTCTACATTTAATTGTTGGATTTCGATTGATACTTGTTGTACCCCGCAGCATGATCCCCCTTCCTATCTTCAATTGAACTGTGGTGATCCTTATATTTATTCGTTGTTCTTCTATTTTTATTCGATGTCCCTGCAGCATGTTTTCCCCCCTCCCATCCTTAGCTGTACATTTGTGCTTGTATTGTTCCGTTGTATATGATTTAACTGCACATGTTTATTTTGGTAGTCTGGTCCTAGCCTCGTCACTACTTCGCCGAGGTTAGGCTAGGCACTTACCAGCACATGGGGTCGGTTGTGCTGATACTACACTCTGCATTCTTTTGTGCAGATCCCAGTGTTGTAGATTTCGGACCGCAGTGAGGATGCTGCTTCTGTTCCATCAGGCGACCCGAGGTAGTCCTGCAGGCGTCCGCAAGCCTTGGCGTCTCCTTCTAGCTATTATTCCTGTTTCTTTCTTATATCTCCAGAGACAATGTTGTATTATTTCTTTCAGACCTTTATTTGTAGTAATCTTAAACAGTCTGTGAAGTTGTGACACCAATCTTGGGTAGTGTTGTTATGGAACGGTATTAGTAGTATTATTAAACTTGAAATTAAGTCTTCCGCTTGTTAAATTCTGTTGATTATAAATTGTTGGCTTATAACTGTTAACGAATTTAAAAATCGAAACAACGCAAATAATTCAGTTGGTTGGCTTGCCTAGCTTTCACTAGTAGGCGCCATCAGAACTCCCGAGGGTAGGAAATCCACGTCGTGACAAGTTGGTAATAGAGCTCTAGGTTACATGGGTCTCACAGTTCACAGACAAGCTTAGTAGAGTCTGAGGGATCGGTACGGAGACGTCTGTATTTATCCCCCAGAGGCTATAGAGTTAGGAAAAACTTCACATCCATTCCTTCCTGTCGTGCAACTTGAATTCTCAATACTAGTTGAACTTCCACTCTTGTTCCTTCGCGAATGACGAGGTCACGTACCAGTTCTTCAGCCGAGCAGCAGCACAGACCAGT